CCCCAGCCCCAAGCATTCAGCAAACTGCGAGACATGACTTGGGGCACCGGTTGGTGCCTGGCAGCCTCCGTACTGTCCCTGTTGGCCTGAGCTTTTGGGGGTTCCTGGAGTCTGGCTGCTCTTGAGCCCCTGCAGCCAGCACCCAGGAGAGGTGGGGTATGACCACCCCACTGCAGGTGCCTCTGCTTCCTCTGACCAGCTCCCCACAAATGTCCTTGGTTCTGATTCCCCTTGGGCTGCCATACCACCTCCCCTCCTTCCTTATTCCTTGGCTTGCGCACTGTTCGGGTCCCATGCAGGCACAGAGGTCCATGGGATCTGCCTGGGGCTGTACACGCAGCACTGAGCCCCGCAGCGTCTTGCATAGCTGCTCCTGGCTGGCTGCAGTCACTCCTGAGCTAACAAACCTGCTGGGGGGGGGGGGATAAAGCAGAATTTGGGGAGTCCCCGCCCCCCTGCCCACCCCGGCAGGCTGTGACACCTCTGCCATGCAGCTTTCTCTGCCTGACAGCTGCATGGAGGAGCCCAGCGTCGTCTTGAATCATGGCTCAAAAACCCCCTTGTGGATGAGCCCTAGCACTCTGCACAGAGATGATAAACCTGCTTCTTCTGCCACTGCTTTTCCTTTTCCTTCCCCCAACATCGCACCAGCAGCACCCTGGCCCTGCAGGTGTTCGCCAGTATGCTCCACTCCCCTGGCATGCCGCCTGCACTCACTGTAAGCGGGACTCCCCGGCCCTGTTGAAACACAGCACCCCAGTGGAAAGTGCACCCTCCTCATTGCCTGCGGCTACAGCCCCTGAAAATGGCAGCAGACATAGGATTTGCATAGAGGAGCATAACTAAATGTGCTTGCGGGAGTCATGGTGACCCTCAAGCTCCCCACACCTGGACCTGCACGGGTGCCCAGGGGACTGGAGCGTGCAGGACCTGGTGTGTATCTCCCCAGCACCTTTCCTAGACCTACATGTCTCTCATGCACAGCCATGACTACAGCTACGATGGCATCTTGACCCCAGCACCCACTTCGGATGTGGAGGGGGCCATCAAGGTGAAAGGGAACATGGGTGGCCTCTGAGTCAGCATGGGATAGGAGCAGGCTGCACAGAGCAGAATGAGGCTCCCACCCGGTACCAGAAGGGTTGTAACAGCACCGCCAGGGACTGAGGCTGCACTCTGGGTCCCATAGCAGTAGAAAGAAGCCTCTGGCTTTCCTGTGGCCCTGCCTGCATAGGGATCACAGGCGATGGGGGCCATGCCTGGGTGGGCAGCCCACAGCAAGAGGTGCCCAGAAGTGTGGCTTGCATGGGCCATACATGAGCTAGGAGAGGAGTGGAGTGCTTGTCTGCTGCAGATCACCACTGTAGCTCTCCCATGGCTGCTGGTCAAGAGGGAGACCTGCATGGTTTCATCTACGCAGCTGGTTGTGGCTACAGACCCAAAAAAAGGCAACTGAAGGGTGGACCTAAGCGGTGCTGAGCAGCTGCCCCTTCCTCGAGTAGTGACCATACAACCATGCCAGCCATCACTACAGCACTGCTGCTACCTGAAGGGTGACCACAGATCAGTGAATTCTTGCCCAGAGCCAGGAGCACTTGGGAGCTTCACAGCCATCCTTTACATGAGACCAACTTTGGTAAAAGCTGCACAGCTCTGTCTGCAATACAAATACTCAAGGGGCTGCTGAGAACTAGGGCAGCGGCAGGGGAGGCAGAGGGTATGAATTCCCCAGGCGATTAAGCAGGGCAACAGAGGCAGCTCAGGGCGCCCAGTGCATTCCTGCAGGGCTTGATGCAGGAATGCCTTTGCACTTCTCTGCTTCTCTTTAAGAGGAGACTAGCTGTCAGGTAAGGTAATCGTGGTGTAAGCCAAGTCATGTGAATGTTAAGAGTTAGCAGATGAGCTACGGGACAAGCTATTTGTAGTGCAAGCACAAGGCTGCCAGCCCTGAGGATTTTACTGGATGCCTCTCTCCCTCCTGTTTTTCTTAAGCCTCTTGGCTGCTGACATCCTCTGACTATGAAATACTCTCAGCTTCCATTTTAACGGCGTTCCAGCTCTCCTATTTGCAAAAGAAAAAGCTGGGATATATGACTCAAGTGTTTCCTAAGGATGCCCAGACCATGGGCAGGTAAAAATGAGGCAACATTTAACTGGGTGTGTAAAATGCCAGGATGAAAGGCAAGCGCTTGGGTGTGGGCTGAGCCTGAACCGGCAACAATGTCACTAAATGGTTAGTGCAAGAAAACACAATTCACCCTGAGAAAGCCAATGCAAACCTCGTGAAACCCGCGGCTCCCGCAAGGGGAGGGACAGGGGAGAAGTGCCGCACTGCCCTCTGACCAGGTACAGACACCCAGCAAGCACCTCAGAGTGTTTAAATACATTTTGTTTTCTGTCAGGAGAGCTGGGGGGAGCACTGCAGAGCCCCGGGGCACGTCTCTGCCTGGCAGCATCCTCCCAGTTGTAGCGCAATGAGGCACGTAGGGCGTGGGGAGGTGCTGTCCCTGAGCGGTGTGCAGGACACCCTCATCCCCTTTCACCACCATCTGCAGAGATCAGCCACTCGGCATCACCCAGGGGGACCCTGCTGAACGGGGGGGCCTGGACCCTGACGTCGCTGGTGACAGCTCAAGGGCTGGTTTTGAAGCAGCAAGGCAGGAAACCTGAAGAGCGCTGGGGCTGGAGAGCAGTCTGCAGATGCTGAGACCAAAATGAGTGTGCTACTGCTCTAGCCGAGCAGGCTACCGAGATCATTGCAGGGTGAGACTTGATCTCCCTGCCTTTGTCAGCCAAAGTGCCAGGATTTTGCTAATTGCTGGGGCTGTTGAACTAGCAATGCTGTGGATATGGAGTCTGTTCAGCTCTCCTAATCCCTCAACTGGCATCGCTTCCAGTGCCAGAGCGCACCCAGCCCTCTGCCAGACATCAGCACCCTGCCCACTTCCCCTTGCCACTCCAGGCAGCCAGGGCTTGCGTCCTGCCCCTGGGCAAGACACTCTGTAGGTAAAGGGGGCAAGGCATAGTGGAAACCAGATGGAAACTATGGAAAACCTTGCCAGAGCCTTCCAGTTCCAGCACTGGCTGCTGGCCATCTCTTGGTGGGAAACTGGGGATGAGATTGCAAGGTGTAGGGCTGGAGGGTGGCCAGTTTACTTGTTTCCATACAGTGGTGTTAATGGGACTGTAATGAGGTGCATAAGATGAAGCAACACTGAAAGTATTTTTAACTCCTCTGAAAACAGCGTATTTCTTAATGACAGACCCATGGGAGTGATGGGGAACTAACCGAGGAGCTTTGGCATGGGGACGTGCCCCTGTCCCCTTTCCACTCTGCCCTGCATGTTCCCTACTGGTGTAGCTAACCTGCCTGGCCAGAGCAAGCTGGCCTGGCCTTCCCAGCTGCAAAATGTGCTTTGCCAGCCCAGGTCCAGCCTCAGCCAGCTTCTTTCACATAGAGGGCCTGCTGGTGTCTGCTCTCACATCTTTTCTCTGACAGCTGCTGTGGGATGCTTTCCTTCTTGAGCAGCTGAGCCCATGTGCACCCACAAGAGCAGGGTCCGAGTGGAGAGGTGGGAGCAATCAGTAGGTTCCCGCAGGCTCCTGCAGGAGCAAGGTAATACCTTCCCTCATTCGGGCTGGATTCCCCTGATGAGCTTCATGTGTCAGGTGGAGCTGGCTGGCCTCATGGCAGCTTCCAAGAGCTGCACTGGGGACCTCAGAGGCTGTTGCTATGCCGGGGATCAGTAACTTGTGCTCTGCTAAAGCAAAACACGGGTAGTAGAGGACCAGCCTCTTCAAGGACAGGGACAATAAGTAATGTTCAGCACCGACGGGAGCTGGAAATGGTAGCTTTTGGTGAAACAACAGAATTCCTCGTGAATTAGCTTCATTTAGGAGAGCACCCCCAAGTTCTCCTTGTTCCAGTGACATTCCTGCTTGTCCCTCAACTCCCAGCTTCATGATCATTTTAACTCACCACTACCCATCATTTTATATGTGGAAAGCTTCAGGCATGTTGGGGGTCTGGCCTTCACTTCAGCAGGTGAGGAGCTGCAGGGAGGGAGGTGTGCCAAGAGCAGTGCCATGGGATGGCCATGTGGCTGTGAGGCACCAGTCTGCCCACAAGTGGCTGGAGGAGCGGCAATAGGAACCTCTGTGAGCTATGCAGGATGCCAAGGTATTTATCACTCAGGTTGCATTGGCATACCAGTAAAAATCATGGTGATGGTAGGGCACTGACCATCCATCTCCCTGCTTGTGAGGAGCTCTGGGATCTGGTGAACTACAGGGGGAAAACAGTGAGGTTTATTCATTGCCTCCTCCCTACCCCAAACCCAAGCACAATCCTGCCTTCACGGGCCAGTCTGCCATGTCAGCACCGCACACAAAGGGCTCTTAGTCCGCGGGGAGCTGAAGCCAGGGCAGAAGGGTTTTTAACGCTTTAAATGATGGCTGAGGACAAGGAGGGATCTTGAGGTTGAATTCAGCTGCTGCCCTTCCAAGACCTCTTCCGTGGGAACCCGTGTGTGGTCCTGGGCTCCGGCAGCATGGGGCCCAGAGGTGGGGTGGCAGGCTCCCACGCCGCTTCCCACGGGGCGAGACTCCCCCTGCCGATGCTGTTGTGGGGCTTCCCTTCCCACCGGTATCTGCCCTCAGGCAACGCTGGGGCCTGCACCCCAGCCTGAACACAGGGCGGGCAGCGCCCCGGCAGCACCTCAGGTGGAACACTCCGCTGTTCTCCCCGTGAGCACTCGCTGCCGCTATCGCCACCCTACAGGGGCGAGACGTACTGCCCTTGTCCGCCATCTCTGTCCCCACTGCCCTCAATCCCCCTCCCCGATGCTCCTCGTCCTGGTGCCCTTCTTCCTCCGGCTCAGACCATCGCCGCCGCCGCCGCAGCCGCCTCCCGGTCCTGGTCCTGGCCCCGCCCCGCGTTCCCGGGGCGGGCGCCCCCTGGCGGCAGTCGGTCGGGGCGGGGCGCGGCGCGGCGCGGCACGGCGGAGGAAGCGGGTCCGTGCGCCTGAGACGTGTCCCTCCGCGCGGGGCAGCCGTCGGCGCCATCGGTGGCTGGGTAGATCCTTCCGCGCCGTGCCAGTGGCGGCTTGAGCGGCCGTGGCCATGGCCCGTGGAGTGGGGCCAGCGCTCGCCGCTTTCCTCGGCCTGGTGCTGGCCGTGCTTAGCCGCGCCGAACCAGCGTCCGGTGAGTGTCGGGGCGGGGGCGAGGGGCTGTGGGGGCCTGTGGGGCTGAGGCGGTGCGCGGGAGGCTGAGGGGCTGCCCGGAGCCTCCCGCTGCCCGGCCCGTTGCCGCGGGGAGACCGGCGCCCTCGCCAGCGCGGCCAGGCGGGCTTCGGTGCCCCCTTTCTCGTGCCGCGAAGGGGGTGCGGGTTGGTGCGGGGGGCGGCGGGGCCGCCGCCGGGTGTCATCGCGGGGGGTGGCCCCGCAGGGCCGCCGCCGCTTCCGGAGGAGCGGTGACCCCCGAGCCGCGCCGCGGGCCGGGGCAGGGGTTTGTGCGGGTCTGCCCGCGAAGCCGCGGCTCTGGGGGTGGGCTCCGCAGCTCCGTGCGGGGCAGCGGGGGCCGCTCTCCCGTGGGAGCTCACGCGTAACGGAACGCTGAGGCGAAGTCAGCCGTCCCTCGCCGCAGTGCGTGGCAGTGATAGATGTGCTATTGCAAAAATGGCTCGAGCGCTTGAGGAGTTTGGTTTCAAAATACGAGGGAAATGGTTTACTGCTTTCCATCGCTCTCAATACCCATGCGTCGTGTTCGTTCCAGCCTCTTTGTTGAGGACATACCTGCACACACAGAAGGAATTTCTACATATCCTTCTGCTTTAACTATTAATCGGTCCAGGCGTGAAGCCGTGTGTGCACTTCTGAGGGAACTGCTGCTTTTTTGTCACTGTTCTCTGTTGCACGTTGGCATTCGCAGTATGTTTTACAGCCAGGCTGAAGAACATGGTCCACAGCCTTAACTGTTGGGTTCTGGTGGATTTCATGCCTCTCCCAACAGCAGCCCTGCTCTTAAAGCACTCGCAGCATTGCAGCACGTTAAAGCTCTCAAGCGCCAGCAGTCGTTGATTATTGTGGAATGGTTTGGGTTGGAAGGGACCTCGGAGCTCATCGAGTTCTAAGCCCCTGCCATAAGCAGGGGCGCCTTCCACCAGACCAGGCTGCTCAAGCCCCATCAAACCTGGATTGCTTGCATGACTTATAATTCTTTCTTCCTTTTTCCTGCCGAGAGGCTGGATTGCACTTCAGATGACTTGTGAAGAGTGCAGCAATGGGAGAAAGTGGTAATGGAACTTGTTTAGTGTGTGACTGAGTGAGACACTGATAATTTCAGCAATTTTACTCTTTGTTATGGTTAGGAGTAGAAACTGCTGTCTGCAGTTTTGACCACTACTGCTGTTTTGAGTATAGCGTGAATCAGTCTATCTCTTTTGGCTTTGAAATGGTCGGTACTTGTCTCCCAGGAGAAATGCTGTTGCTTTTTTCTTTTTATTTGCTGGAACTCCCTCTGAAATCTGACTGACTTGGTTTTGCTAATGTGTTGCAAGAGGATGGTTAAAGTTAAAAAAAACCAAACAAAAACAACAAAACCCAAAAAACCAGCTGTTGCCTGAGTGTCTTTTTGTCAGGTTTGCTCAAAAGGGACTGAGAAGATAAAAGGTCTTTCAAGGGTAGGTGCCTTAAAAGTTCAGAAATATGTTTTCTTGGTAGGGTAGAGGTGTGGGGCATTGTGGACACTGTGGTGGACTGTTATTTCTGGAAACAGTTTACACAGTCCAGTAAGACAACAAAATACCATTTTTTTGCTAAGACTAAATGTCATGTCTACTTAGTTAACCTGTACTTTCATACCAGCATCTTGTCAGCTTAATACTAGTCCTGCCAGCTCCTTCTGTGGCAGGGCTGAGAGGAGAAGTAGCTGTGGTATCACTTGTCAGTTGACTGGGTAGGGATACCTACCTGGCTGATCAGGGTCCTCCCATGCTGCAGAAGGTTTTGGCATTGTGGGTGAAATCTCTTCCCAGTTCTAAACAAAGGCTGGTTGGGTGAAGTTTCTTCCCAGTACGAAACAAAGGCTGGTTGTCAGAGATGACAAATCTAGACTGAAAGTGACTCTGGTTGTTCATGAGATACTGACCTGCCTCTGGTTCTTGGGAGTGGGAGCTGTGGCTTCAGTTAATGGGAAAGATGAAGTCACCGAAAGGGTATTTTTCAGGTGCATATTCAACTGCCTTGATGCTCTTGTGCAAGAGAGGGCAGGTACCTGATGTCAGCCTTCTTGGTCAATAAATAGGAGGCTCCTGGATGCACCTAAGCGCTATGGTTTGGACTACTCAACTCTGCCTCATCATGCAAGCCCAATGGTGTAGCAACTTGCTTTTCCAGTTGAGCCGTTTAGTTTTGCACAAGACTGCAGTTGAAGGTGTAGTAAGCTGGGGTGGGGCAGCAACACCTGCGCTTTTGGTGTGGATACTCCTGATAATTGCTGTGAACATTTGCTCCTCTTCTCACCAGATAGCAGTGGGGAAAGCAGGAATCCTGGCTAGTAAAGCCCACCCTAATTACTTACTGACATGATTAACCCTCAGGTTTTGCTAAGCCCAGCTTTGCTGGGTTGCTGTTGACTATCAGCCTGTATTTCTAAGATTCCAGTGCATTTTTAATCTAGAGCAGTACAAAGGTAGTGTGCTGATGTGGACTGCAGTGTGAGATCTTTAGTATTCAAAAAGTGAAACTTTTGAGGACTTTGGGTAAAGCTGACAGTGCTGGTTTGCTTGGTATGGGTTTGCTTAAGGAAGAGCAAGTTTTACTTGATCTTTTGAAGGCTTTATTGCCTGTCAAATTTGTTCTTATCAAAGATGCTGATTTAGACTTTCTGAAGAGTGTGATGAGAATCTGGCTAACTCGCATCACTTCCTGCAGGGCATCACTTAGATTAGAAGTACGTGAAGATCCTCTTGCTGATGTTCTCAGGACTTGAATCCTTGGGAAAAGAGAACTCGTGCCTCTGGTGGCATTTGGCATTTGAATCTCTTACAGCGGGTGGGTTTGGGTTTTGTCAGCTTCTATAGCTATTTCCCTTCCTCCCTTTTTTTAAGGGGTCTTGCTGCTGTTGCAATAGGTGGGTAGTTCTCTTCAGTATGCTCTGGTCCTGTTCATCTTCTTTCATTTTCAAAAGTGGTCTCTGTGCTGTCAGAGGGGTCTGGTGGCTGGGGCTTGAATGTGGGACAAGGTGTAGGTGAAAAGCAGCAGTAGAGCTCTGGCAGCCTGTGTCTTCTGGGCTTGGGAGTCTTACTTAACAGCAAAAACAGAGTCACAATTTGTAACTCCAGATGTAACATCGTTTCCTTTCAGTTTGTACTCTTGGCTAATGGTTGTGAAGTGGAGGAGTGATGCAGTGATTAAATCTTACCTCTCTTGGAACATATAAAGGGAGATGTCATCCATATTGGGGAAAAAAAGAGCTTCTCTAAGCATCTGTGCTTAAAAAGTCCTTTTGTGGTTATTTTCTTAGTTTCTATGAATTCCATCTGAAATTATCTTGCCAGCAAAAGTCAAGGGCTGTCAGTGCCCTTCTAGAAGAAACAGTGCTTATATCATTCTAAACACAGTCATCTGAGAGCTGCAGAAATAATTGTTCGTTCTGTTTAGAAAATAGTCTGTTCCTAGGGCACAAGTCCTTTTTTTAGCCTGCTATGAGGATGAGAAAAGAGCTTTGTATCTCAAAATGGCACGGCGTCTGCTGTTTGTTCCATGCAGCAAGTCTTCATCTTGTTCCTCTGACCTCCCCCTGGATGGCTGTGGAAGCACTGCTCAGCACAAGGAGCGGGCTGGCGTTTCTGCACAGCAATTGCTTAGTGCTCAGATTAATAAAGATTTAGTGCTGGAGAATGACGGAAGGCTTGGGAGAAGACGCGAGCATGGCTCCCGTCTGCCAGATTGCCATGGAAACACCAATACCTCTTTGGCTCTTTAATTGCCTTCCCTACATTTTTTTGTGTTGAAAACTCTTTTTTTTTTTTTTTTCCTTAACAAAATACTTTATGTGGCTGTTCTGGATTTCAGAGGTTTTGGCTTTGTTGGGAGAACTGAAAATAGGAGAAGGCGGGAAACAGTAGCTGTGTAAGGAAATGGAGAATATGGTGACTGGCACTTTGGAACTCTGTTACAAGTTCAGTGGGAATTCAATATGTATTATAACTTGAGCTTTTATCAGCAGTTTTTCAACAGGAACAGTGTCACGTGAACTGTATCTGCATCTGATAGAAATAACTGTCCGCCTGCAGCTTCCTGGGCCTAAGACCCTGATGACAGAAGGGCTTCAACTGTACCTGTGAATTTGCACAGTAGTTCCTAGCTCTGTTCTTAGGAGGCCAACTAGTAGTTTTTGCTCATTCCTGGGTGTTTGGGAGAGAGATTAGAAACAGATGATTGCGGGGCATGCAGTTTGTGTATCTCAGTTTAATGCAGTCAGATTTGTCATTACCATTCTCAAATTCAGAAAAACTTGGTGAATTTGTGAAGCAAAGTTTCTCCTTCTTACAAACTTGTTCTTCTGAAATCCACTCTTTTTTATGCTGGTCTAGAGAAATTAGCATAGGAAACCAGTTTAGATATTGGGGTTTTCTCTCCTGAAAGGTACAGGATGTTGGCTGAGTACCTTCACACTCCTCTGAGCTCTGCTTAGCTTCTCAGTTGGTGAGTTTTGCACTATCCAATTGATTTCAGGCTTTTGTGTGTAAAAACAGTGGAGATGTCTTAATAATCTGGTTAAAGCATTTTTACCTTATGGACTATTTTCATGCCTTGTCTGCATGGTTTGTCCTTAACTACTGCTGTCTGTGAAGTGCAAACAGATCAGCTTGTTTGAATTCCACAAATGTTAATGTTTTCTACATATGAGCTGAATATAAGGTACTATCATTTTTCACTGTAAGGATTTAGATTAGTTTGCTTCCTCAACCCACTGTGTGTCTGCCATGGGGTGATCTTCAGAAAAAAAGAAAAAGCTATTTTCATATTTCAGCTAGCATTTATTTACTAGTGAGTTCTTCCCTGGTACATAATCTCAGTGGAACTGTAATCTGTTGAGGTTAGTGAATAGCGTAATTAGTCCTTTGTGGTTTCCCTCCAAATTTGGTTATCTTCTCTCCATATGTGCAGTGCTTCTTATTCCTTACCAGCTTTTTCAGC